TGGGCTGACATTTGATCACGATTAGTTGTTCCATCGGTTTGGTGTTATCCTGTGTGTGACCTTTGAGCATGGCATCCCTTATCCTCTTACTCTGGTCAATGCTGGAGTGCCCTTTGTCTTTCCGAGTTCCTGCTTGTGACCTTTATTGATCTGACTCCAAGGAATTCCTTGTTTATTTGGTTTGTGAATCCAATATTCGGTTCACCTTGAGTATTCCGGTTGAGACGTTGGTCACCTGCATGGAGTGGTGCTTAAATTGGATTCAGCTCAATGAACCGGCTGATCAAATCCGTCGTGACGTACCATGATTCGAGAAATTCCCTTTCGTTTCTCGTGTCTCTATATGCCAAAACGTTTGCGTTTTCCAGATAGAATTTGTGCCCTTCTTGGTCTTCGTGTATGCATATCAAGGAAGGGGGAAGTGAGTTCTGGAAGCCGCGTTGTGTTCCTATATTCCTGCGCATAATTTCCTCCCAGTTTGTCCAAAGTACAATTTGCTGCAGTTAATTTGATACATCACATTGTCACTCTTGGTTTTGTCTTCGTTGTCTTTGAGATTAATTTCCTTAAAGTGGCATTCGGTTTATGGACCATGAGGATTCCTTTTTGGGATAACAATCTGGTTGCGAGTTCCAGTATATTCTTGATGTAAGGCAGAACTACCCGTCTGGTGGTTTGTTTTTGCTGTCGGTGTTGTTGGGATGTCTTCTTCTTTTAGCTTTTCTTTATGAAATTTCTTGGATAGCAACATCAAAAGCAAGTGCAATTCGAGTAAGACTACCGATCGTTTGTTCCCACGGAGCGCTGGCTCTGACAATGCTCGCCAGCCCTCAAAAACAGTGAATTTCTGTAGAGGGGAATGTTAATAGCTCAGGCAGCGAATATCTTTACTGAATTGGGCAATTTGGTTGCAGACGCTCTATCACCAACCGAGGTGACATCATCAATACGTTCTTAGGGAGCGTAGAGGAACATACCGATGGATTGGTGGTTGTGCTTTGAGTAGTGTTGTGTGTGTGTGTGTGTGTGTGTTATTATACAGGCTACTAGCCTGGGCTGACATTTGATCACGATTAGTTGTTCGATCGGTTGGGTGTCATCCTGTGTTCTGATTCGCCGATGATCATGTGACCTTTGAGCATGGCATCTCTTATCCTCTTACTCTGGTCAATGCTGGAGTGACCTTTGTCTTTCCGAGTTCCTGCTTGTGACCTTTATTGATCTGACTCCAAGGAATTCCTTGTTTCTTTGGTTTGTGAATCCAATATTCGGTTCACCTTGAGTATTCCGGTTGAGACGTTGGTCACCTGCATGGAGTGGTGCTTAAATTGGATTCAGCTCAATGAACCGGCTGATCAAATCCGTCGTGACGTACCATGATTCGAGAAATTCCCTTTCGTTTCTCGTGTCTCTATATGCCAAAACGTTTGCGTTTTCCAGATAGAATTTGTGCCCTTCTTGGTCTTCGTGTATGCATATCAAGGAAAGGGGAAGTGAGTTCTGGAAGCCGCGTTGTGTTCCTATATTCCTGCGCATAATTTCCTCCCAGTTTGTCCAAAGTACAATTTGCTGCAGTTAATTTGATACATCACATTGTCACTCTTGGTTTTGTCTTCGTTGTCTTTGAGAATAATTTCCTTAAAGTGGCATTCGGTTTGTGGACCATGAGGATTCCTTTTTGGGATAACAATCTGGTTGCGAGTTCCAGTATATTCTTGATGTAAGGCAGAACTACCCGTCTGGTGGTTTGTTTTTGCTGTCAGTGTTGTTGGGATGTCGTCTTCTTTTTGCTTCTCTTGATGAAATTCCTTGGATATGGATCTCTCTGGAATACACCGAGTAGATGTTTATCTTCCTTCCTCCGCAGTTCTCTGGTGCAACAGTGTGTCTTCACCCTCTAGAACCGAGACTGGACGCAGGTCTCCCCGTGCTTGGCCGGGTGATTGCTGTTGTATTTCAGTACTTGATCCGTAATTTGTCTCTTTCCGGTTTCCACAGTCCCATCCACCGTTCTATTCACTAAAACCCCCAAAAATACTATTCGAGTGTTGCTCTCCAGTTCGATTGTTAACTTGATATATTCGAACGTGGTGTTCACTCGTTCGGGTGCACTAAATCTCGTTTTACGGTGACAAATTTGTCGTCCACAGCTTTGAATTGATGATCAACAGTACCGCGCTCATCAGATCCGACAGACAATCGATCACACGAAATAAAGACATGTAATTGATTCCTAAAAGAAGAACGAAACGCTGTAGAATACAGGTTCCAAAGTGCTATTCAGGCACACATGAATAACCACACTTAAATGGAAACACATAGTGGATCTATGCAAACACCATTTCGAGGTCCTTCTTAGCATTTTGCCGTATCTGTAATCGGTGGGTGGGTGGATGGATGACAGGACGAAAGGGCAAGCTTCACGTGATGCCTTTCGGTTGTTTCAGGTGCCCATTGCTTTTACGAACAGCGCCTTCACATTCACTCCGCGGGAGAGAAAAGCGGAAACTGTGGATGAAGGTGTGCATTCTGACCGATGTGCTGTTCCACGAAAGTTGAGAAATTCCTTAAAGACTACTAAATTTAGAAACTTGTTTGACGTGTAGTTAGGCCCATTTATCTGGTGATGGTCAAAAGAGTTACTGTATATTTTCTTATTACCATAGTAACCTCTCAGTCTTATTCGCTTGAAACAACATCTTCCAATGGGTTACACCAATATACAATATGTCAGGTAACGGTGATACTACTGATGGGGAGGCATGCGAATAGTATGGTTTCTTCGCGTAAATGCACTTTGCGTCTCCTGGAAAAGCGAGATCTATTGCGGAATTTGTGGAGCCACAGTGTAGCACTTGTTTCAATTTGAGCAACAGTCAATGAATAGCCAGGAAAGTTCAGGAAGACGCGTTCAATGAAAAGAAGGATATTCGGTTTTGTAAATAAGATGCATATGAGAGTTTTACTCCCCTGTCCAATGGTCTGAAACTGTTCAGTTGGTGTTTCTCTAACGAAGAATTCCGTAGCTCGGCTCCGGGTGGTCGTTGACCCGTTCCCGAGTTTGGCAATTCGCCTGCGAACGTTGCATTAGAATTCAGGGGCAACATCATCGGTGCATGATGGCATTCCAGGATGGATGACTTCATCTGGGGATACTGCTGGATCGTTTGCAAACCAAATGTCAAGTTCGGCCTACAGATCTGAGTTCAACAACCACTGTACGCTTTCCAAATGGTTCTCCGTAATATATCAAAAGCAATGTTCTTAGCTGGTGTGTACCAAACTAGTGCCATTTATTTACACCAAAACTTAAAAAATTGTGGTATTTTATATTGGAGACGTTAACCTATCGGTGTGACAGAAAATTGAAGTAAATCACGCTGTAAGTTTTCTAAGTCCGAACAGGTTAATCCCCATCTAGATTCTGGCGGAATACTGGCTTGTCATTAGACCAAATATGGACGCGACTTGTTAGATTCACAAGGAGCTAGCAAACTGATTGACCTTCACTAGTGCGGGTTGAGATACTCACAGGTTTGCGTCGCTAAGACTTCTCGGACCTTTCATCCAGATGCAAGTTCAACCCCTTAATTATGAGGTGTAACTCGCGTATATGAGTTGTCTTGTTTGCATCCAGTCACCAGAAACCAGAGGGTGGTTGGTCACCGATTATTTAAAGTGGCGCGCGGTAGATCAGCACTTCAAAAACACGCCGTGCGATACAACAGCAAAATCATTCTCAACATCGGCAGAAGCAGTCGCATCGTCATTTCTGAGAGCCGGATCAGATGGGAGATCTGTTAGACACCCTATTAGACAATGTGGATAGAAACTGACAGCAAGGACACCACTGTCATCAGGGTGAGCCGCATACGGTTCACTGTCTCCGGCCGAGCACAGTAAGATTAAAGTTGGCCTGGAGGGTGAACAGTACTCACAACACACAAGTCTTTTGTAACCTCCTTCATTCCCTTTTACCTAGTCAAATCCTGTCTAACTTTAGGTTTCCGCCACTCCGAATTAGTCAGGTAAAACAGCACCCATTTCGATAAGCGATAACTCGGTATGCGTAACACATGTTCCAGCATTGCAGTTTTCAATGCTTTCTTTGATGGAAAGCTCCGTTTGCCTCATCGGAATTCTGTCTTCTGATCATCTAATTACGAATTTGCTGGTTCCATCCAATTTCATCCATAATTCTGAAACATCCGCATTCAAGGATGTCGCAAGTCCTACGCCCAAAAGGTTCACGTCTCGCAGCCGTACAGCAGTTCGATGCATGTGTGCTTTGTCAAATGCCCTTTCGACGCTACAAGTGGTACAAATGGGCAAACACAATGCTGGTCTTCGAGATTCTTGTCTGTCGCAATACCGTTACAGCTAATTCATCTTCACATACTCCGGCACTTTTCACGGCAGATTACAACTCGGCATGCGTAACAACACATGGTCCAGCAACTTAGCTTGCAATGTTTGTATTCTTTGAAGGAAATACTATTTTATCCACCACAAACCAGGCTCCTGTTCATCTGTTTGGGTATTTGACGATTCTGGCGACTTCTGACTATAGTTCTAAGGCATCGAGTACCTGGAAATAACATTGGCTCGCCCAGGTCTCGCAGCTGTACAACAATAAGGTCTAAATTCAGCAATATGCTTTCCCGATGCCAAAATTGGAGCATCTCTTCAAAATTGCAAACAACTAGTCTGAAATTCAGGACGAAAAGGGCAAGGTAGGACGTTTCCTCACTTTTGGTGGACTCCGGCTTCCATTCTCGTTTAGAGCAAAAGTAAAGTTGTAGGCGGCTGACTTGAATACCCTTGCTTCTCCTTGTCAGGATTTCTGTATGCCAGATGGTGGAAACGCGCTGTTGGCTATTGGCAGGGTGATTAAACACAGCCCAAAGTGTCTCCAAAAGTGCTAGCTGCATAGAGAGACCTCGATTGTGACTGCATCGTCGAACATGCATAGGCCAGAGAACACGAACTAGTCAACCATGCGCCTTTGAATCAATCACCAGCGCCATGGTTCAGATTTTCCTCATTTCCAAAATTCAGCTTAAGACTTGAAAGGACCTTACACAGTTTTCGAACTCATATGAGCCTATAGGCCGGTCCGGTTCCCTGACCTAGCCTAACTGTAACGTAATCAATACAACTTTCTGCCTCACTGGTCTATTGTTCCACTGACCTCATCTTCCCATTACAGGTTACTCACAGATATATCTACATACACACACACACGTTATTTCCAACTAGCATGTTATGATCTGTAACCATTTCTTTCTTGGACGCTCAAGTCATTTTGAATAACGGGCTTCGATGATAGCTGGCCTTTTCCACCAGGAGGTAGAATCCAAATCGTGTTGTCTGGCGGGCGAGTCCATGTGAATCGAATCGGGTGAATAGTTGTCAGAAAACTAATAAGCCGTTTGTAGTTCCCCTCAAACACTGATTTCGTCTTGGAAGTGAGTGGATAAATAACACATACGTCTGATCATGAATTCATGTGACTTTTGATTTCAGAAAAAATCCGACTGGCATAAACATACGCAGCAAGCTGAAGTGATTCCTTTTACTGTGTCTATCTATGCTTCAGGAAAGGAACTGACTTCCAGGAAGCTATCTCAGGCAGCTTCGTGCAAACGGTGAAGGATGGCATTGATAGTGCACCACAGACCGCTATACATTTCGGTTCTATACATCAAGCCGTGTGGACAATATGGTTGCTTAGCCTCGCCCCGTTGATCAGAAGTTGTGCACATGCTGAATTGCTGAATCCTGCGGGTACCTTGGATATTTCTAGAGTTTACCATTCAGTTTGCTGTTGAGGAGGTTACCAGGACCTCAGTTGTGGATGGATGGCTCTTTGTGTGCTTGCTGAGCCAGACAATTTAACTATAACCGGTCGTTTATCAATCGAGATGACTTCAGTTCATTGTTACCAGGTGACGTGTAGCAGAGTGTGGGTGATTATATCCGACTGGATATGCTCACAGAACACCTCAACTACGGTGCTTCATTATCCGGACGGAAAATCGTGGTTGTCCGTCCACCTGTGTACGGAACCATCATACCGAACTCACAAAATTGGGCATCATGCATGCGGTTTCAAATCTTGTGCTGTTTCTGCACCTGAAATCAGTCATTATCTGAACATCGTGTCACAGCTGTGGTAGGAGTTGTTTTCTGTGCTACTAAACTCTGACTCTATCACGCACAGTGATCGTACCAAGGTCCGACATTTCCCATGTAGAGCGTGCTGATTGTCCAATACGTGGACAGAACGGAGAATACCGTTTTGCTACGGGTAACCTTTCACGTGCTAACTAGGCCGAAAAAACTTATAAACCAGTTAGATTGGTCCAACGTAATTGATGGTCAGCCAGAGACCGCAAGTAAATTCACCCATCACACAAAACCAGTTCATTGTGTATTGCATTTAAGATGTTACTAAAAGCACAAGGGAGACTGTTAAACCATCTATCAAATGCGGTGTCCCATTCAACTGCGCACTGACGATGTCTCCTCGACTGGGGACGAAACGTTTGCAAGCCAATTGCAAAGCCAATGGCGAACAGATCAACTGCCATCCGATCAGCCACCAGTAAATGCGGTGTCCATTGCTAAATAGACAGAAATCATTTTGGCGAATATACGATCATTTGCAAACTATTCGCTAATTCCGTGCAATTTAGTTTCAAGTACAACATAAGGTTGACGACGGAAACTAGGGGACTGCGCCTACCTGATGAGCCCCAAAAGGGCGAAACCGATCGCGGGCTGTCGGCGGATTTTCAGCAGCCTTATAAGTAGTACATTACAAAGAAATCGTTTTGCTTTGCGTAGGCGCTACTCTGATGACTTGCTTACTGTAGGAGATCTGCTGTGACACGCTTACATCCAGTGAGCAACTGTGCAGTAGAATAGATTAGTCGCATTTGATGTGGGGCTAAGAAAAATTCATATCAGCAACATTAAAGATATCCACATAAAGCGGGACTGTTTGTGCCCGTCAGTTCGATGGTCTGAAATTTTGTGTTTGGTCCGCAATTCGACGTTGGCTGGGACGAGGTGGCTCACTGGTTAGATCGCGAATTTACTGACCGGAAGGTTCGTGGATCCAACCAGACCTCAGCCTCTCGACTTCTTCTGTCTAGGCTTCGGTAACCTGGTAGTATTCCAGCTCTCGTGCTTCCTTTGGGGGGTATAATGTTACTTTGTTTCTGATAAAGTCTGGTGCGTTTCATGATCAATGTGGCCGCTTTTTCACATTAGGAGATTTTGTCCTACAAATGCAACTGAGAAGTACTACACAACTGTTTTCATCCTTCTTGGAAAGTTCCAATATCCTGAACTCCCGGCTGGTAGATGAAAACCTGACTGTTCGGCCACGAATGACCGATCATTAGTTTGATTAACTTGCTTGCCCTTCGAGGCGGTATAGCGTCACCCGCATGTTAACTGGTCCCTTGGGTGATGACTTTTGAGGTATTCCTGGAAACTGTACAGCACTGCCCACTTAGAAAGAATGCATATTAGTTATCCGGAAGCACCCATTCGGTTCCTTCATCGGTCAAAAACGACGAAAGGTACGCTCCTTGTTTGACCATGAAATCAGGTGCAACACGTTTCTATGAGCCTCTTGCTATTCATAGTTCACTGAAAATGTTTCGCCGTCAACAGAGCCTCCATCCCAAGCAGGATTACCTACGGCTTAAACGAAAACTCAACCGGTTTAAATTTGGCCTGGTTGACTGATTTTTTCTGTGACTTTTGAAATTCTAAGGAGGCCCGTTCCGTCGTCCAAACCGCTGATCCAATTTACTATTCGTAGATAGTGTTGTTGAAAGCTAACTGAGCTGTTAAAGACTATTTGACAGGGGAGCAAAACTCTCATATGCATTTTGTTTACAAAAACTGAATATCCCTCCTCTCTTTGAACGCGTCTTCCTGAAATTTCCCGAATATTCATTGACTGTTGCACAAAGCAAGCAAATGCGACTCCACAAACTCCGTAATAGATCTCACTTTTCAAGAGACGCGGAGCGGATTTACGAGAAAACATACTACTCACATGACCCCATCAGTAGTGCCCACCGTTACCTTGGTAGTGACACGTGCATACAGGTGGAAACCGGAACTGCGACAACGGACAAGAAGACAAGGTGTGAAAATTTACATGACGATGCATTCGGATGTTTCATGTAAGCCTTAACTTTGTTTGGTCCGCAATAGTCTGACAAAAAAACCCGAACTCCAGCTCGAGTGTGTACAAACTTGCATATTCAACAGCCTTGGTACTTTTAGCTGTGATCCGGCTGTTGGTTAGGTTGAAAGGAACATGGACGCCCTACGAAGGGCGAAACTGGCCCAGGGATGTTGAAGGATCTTCAGCAACCTTATGAGTAGTGCATTACGAATAGACATGTATCGCCATACCTCGAATATCGTAGCGACTGAAACATGAGACGACCTGGTGAAGCACATTCAAATGCCTGGAAACACCATAAACGAGAGATTCATCTGAGTTCCAGCTGAGCCTCCTGCAAAACTAAATAGGTTTGCAAATGAGTGTATTTCACTGAATGGAACATGCGTATTAGCGAACGAGACAAAAGGTCTACCATGATTGGGTGAGAAACTGTCGAACAGAAACTAAGCTTTACAAGCCATCGAACTTCTCAACTTACTGAACACTACTCTGTCCTTCGGCGAAGTAGGACGAACGTTCAAACCCTGAAGCCACTGGCGACCAAAAAAACGTGAATGATAGCTGTGATTTTGGAGATGTTGGAAGTCGATAATCCCCAGCTTTTCAAAACATTTCGAAGGGTCGTTGTTTTGCAGTTTCAAACTACACATCTGAGTTAAATCAATCACACATTGCACGTTACCATGGCAATTATTTGGTCCATCTTTTGGGACCGTAGAAACCTTATCTTGCCACCTATCCCAAATATTCGGATCGTGTTCTTTTACTCGCTTTTCTAACTCCTTCCAACCTCATGTCCACTTTTAGCGGTTATTTTGTGTTTCTGATGAAACAGATGTCGCTCCTGTTCAGTAGTTACCGCCTATGAACAGCCCAGGCATCTGTGAAGTTTTTTTAATTCTAAATGGGAAACTTTGATTCCCAATTGACGATGTGTAAAATGCTGTGGAATGTTGATCGATTCTCTCCGGTTCCCTCTTTAATTAGGATGGGAAGAATTTAAACCCAGAGTCGTGTTCATTGGATTTTCAATCGATTTCCACCGGTCCGCACAAACCTCCCAGCTGACATTTACATGTTCAAGTGACTGAAAAAGCTGTTGAAGCCAGTCCAACGATCCCAGCGGCAAGTGATCTTGACTCGGCTTTTGTAAATAACACGCATATTTGATGATACTTGAAAGTGCGGAATGCAGTTTTCTGGATTGTGACTAGTGTTCAGTAGAGGAATGCTTTCTGAGGTGTGTAAAACTACAGTCACAGCCGTGATCTATATTATTGAAATCTACACTCGCAAATGGCGACGAATATGACGAAGATAAAAAACCACGTTTTTGGTTCACATTTCTTCACTATTGTGCGGCGGTTTCAACCGTGGCTTATGTAGCGCGCTAAATCAATTGGTGAGGTCTAATTTCGACAGCACAAAGTACCAAGATTGCTGTCTTTCATGGCATCTGCTTCGATATTTGAGATATTCCTTGAAGGGATGTTACTCACAACGTTGGTGGAAATTCTTCGTCAGTTTCATCAGCTATCCAACGAACTCATCAACTGGCCGCATTCCAACTTCACTCTCTGTGGTGTTCACGTGACTTCCAGTTTTCCTGTGACTCACTAATGACCACTCTGTCCTTGCCGTTTAGCTTTGTATGCAGGAGACATTGGAGCGGTTATCTCGCATGCGAAATCCATCAGGTGTGTCGTGAGGATCAGGAGGTGTTATCGGATATCGCCACCTCAGGGTCATCACATACACGGAGAGTAAATGTGGATGAACTGAGTTCGTCCAATGGAGTATAAAAGCCACTACCAGCAAACTCACCTGCGCTGGTCATTGCCGTCTTCCTGGATGAGGACCCCGAGACCAGCCATATCAATGGTTAGAGACGTTGTCATACATGACCCAGTCGCGCCCTCAACGGCACCCATGCGTCCAAGCTATTGCCTTCAATGCATAGCTTCCTTCCCAATTCCCCCACTAAAGTCCACCTAGAGTGCTGTATTTGTGCACTAATTTATCAGCTCCCGCCTCAAATGCGCAGCCACCTACCCCATCTCCCCGAACCATCGGTGAACGAAACCGTGACAGCTACAACCATTGTACGATAAGTACGGGGTTGTTACAGCTGACAATGATGATGACGATGATGATGATGATGATAATGATGATGATGATGATAATGATGATGATGATGATAATGATGATGATGATGATAATGATGATGATGATGATAATGATGATGATGATGATAATGATGATGATGATGATAATGATGATGATGATGATAATGATGATGATGATGATAATGATGATGATGATGATAATGATGATGATGATGATAATGATGATGATGATGATAATGATGATGATGATGATAATGATGATGATGATGATAATGATGATGATGATGATAATGATGATGATGATGATGATGATGAGTTCGTCCAATGTGCTTTGAGATGCGTGAGTTTAGTATGCAGGTTTCAGGGACACAGAATGTATCGACTTTATTGGAACTTGAGGTTTGTTGGTCCATTTGACGCATTGTACTACTTGTTTATCTTGTTGCCAATTATAGTCACCAATGAATCGATCTGGCCGGACAGTTGGAACTACTTGTAAGCGGCTAGGAATTCAAGTGGGCTGACGTTAATTTTCGCACCAATTTTGTTCCTTCTTGTGAGAGAACAAAGCTGTCACATCCTCTTAGGTGGCTGAAAAGCAACGTGATGAAGTCCCTAGGGAACGTATCTGGCAAGCAGTTATCTTAGCAGTAATGGGCCATCCATAGCAATCTATACAGACGTTTTTCAAGCGACATTGGAAGTTTTCAAAAATCTTTGCCCGTGGGGGACATCGATTTGTTGCTAGCAATATACTTTACACTCCCCGCACTCCCACTGGGAAATTTATATTTTACTGGTTGATTTCTCACCTCACTATGGCAAATTGTTCGTCCTTCGGTGAAGTTGACGCACGGCATCGAGACACGAGTGGGATGTTTACGTCGTCATTGGGAACACCCTTATACTCCCCGATCTTCCTTCGTGGAAGATCTACTCTTCACATTGTCCCAAACTTCGCCATGAGACTGATGGACAGGGAGACATACCTCCTAAAAGGAACTGCAAACGTTCGCCAAAGTGAGCCTACAACATCTTCAGACAGAGTTGAAAAACTCAACTCTTCGTAGGCGCCAGTTTGACTTTTGTGTTGTGTGGAAAATCTAATTTGCGCAATTGGAAAAGAACTCAGTTTGGACTAATTGAGTCAGCAGCATTGGGTATCCTCTACTTTATAGTTCGATAAATACTCATTTGTATTTCCAGTAATCTAGTTAACTGGCGTAGAGTCTTCGCATCACGTGTGCTTATCCCTCACAGGTGAGATAACTATCGTTAAGCACAGTCCTAAATTAATTTCGGAAAGTTGGACCGTTACTGAAAAGAGTACAGAACCTTTTACAAAACTTGTATTATACGGAGTATTCCATGTGTATCAGTTTGTCCTCACTTGAATTTCGTCGACCGGCGATTCAGTGATCGAATATTCCCACAAGCCTTATGATTTTGTGCGAATTCCTTCAGTTCTATGAAGATTTGTTACAGGGTTATGCTGCCTAACCTTGCTTCGGCTCAGATTATTGGTTCTCCATTTTGAACAGAGCATCAATCAGGTTCTCCCGTCGAGAAAAACACAAACAGATTATTTGGGTAATCCAGGCGTGCAAGGCTATCAAATTGCTGATGACTCATACTAGTTTCTTTTAGGACGAATCCCCGAGTGTTTTCGTCAGCATGGCAGACAGTTTGATGGAATTCATCTCTGTGGAGGTTTTGCGGGAGGTGTATTGTTCAATTTCACATCACTCTCGTTTGAACGGTCGTCCTCCTGTTCTGGCGCAATTATTCCGGTGAGTCCACACCAAAGGGGGGGCACTGGATATGCACTGCTGATGAGCTCTAACAAGAGCGAAGCTCGAGTCCAGTGATGTGGAACTGAACAAGGAATTTATCTCTCTTATCGATGGATAGCTTTGAATGACAACAATGATGTGTCGAGGAATTCAAACCACCTGCTTTGCGGGGAACGGAGCTCTTCACCTGATGACCAATGGACCAGAAGATCGCCAGCCTCTCTGCCGACTCAAAAAGAGATGACACGGTGAGCGGAACAGGAACACAGGCTGAAATGAAGACCACGGAGAAAAGTCGCTTATATTAGTGAGATTTCCGGAGACGTTTTCCAAGAAATACAGCGTAAATTACATACAGTGAGAGACCTGTATTTCAGATAAAGTCAGGTATATTAAGAATGATGGGAAATGTGGAAGAAAAAACACATTTCTCGTGAACTTCGACACTTGGAATGAAAGTTGCTCTGTTGTTGGTAGTGCCAGCAGGGGAAAGTGCCTGTTCTGGGAGGGATCAAGTGTATCCTAGGCAACAGCTAATTTGCACCGTGTCTTATCGGAAATTGCGCTGAAAGATGAACAAACATCCTTGTTCCAAAAGTACACTCTGTTGCGGAAGCCGAACAAGCAAGACGATGGCGGAATTTAGGGCTGACTTGATGAACTTGATGGCCTTATGGGGTCATGGAAAACTTTTGACAGGTTGGGCAGTTGTATCAAGGTAAACGCTTTGGTAAATACTTTAGCAAAAGGAAGTGAAACAGGGATTCTGGGGAAAATTTACGATACTGGTGGCAATCAGCTGTTGGTCACGAACAGGCCAACAGCTGGCAAGGCAAGAGTTCAAAGAAGCTTCCTGCTTTATGTTGCTACCGAGACGTGATCGTTGTTTTATTCGAAAACGAACGATTGGAAACCTCACAATTCCTGCGGGTGGTGCAGTTTACCGAATACCTTAATGGGTGGTTCTCAATGTTCTTTGCCAGCCTGTCATTTCACCTCTTATTGTCTGTTATCCCAATTCAGAAAAGAACGAGATCAAGGCTGCGTGGGCAGGGGGGACCGGTTTGCGTCCTGATTAGGCAAAATTGCGATTTGATGACCATTACTCTCGGTTATCCTAATACCATATCTCTGTTTGTTGGAAGTTACCTTACAAGAAACCATTGTACTGAAGGTGCATTCGTAAAGGAGCATCCAAAACGTTTGAGAAATTCATGCACCTTACATTTCAGTCCTCCACCTTGTCTTCATCCTCAGTGAAGGAAAAGCCAACACCTGACTGCCGCACGAATACATATTGTGCATGAAGGTGAACTGAGAAAGAGCAGGGGAGTGCACGCACTGTCAGCTTCCTTCTCTAATTCAACATAATCTGTCTACCAATTCACCAGGTTATCACACTTCATTCGATTTTCATCATAAGCACAGCAGTGGCACCCTGTGCAACGTTCGCATCACCGAACCTAACCTGTCATTCACTCGTACGACTGCCTTTAATGGATGTCAATACTCCCTATCAAACTGCAACTTCGCACCGCCATTTATGCAGTTGGGTGCATAACATACTGTATTCCCCAATGATTTGGCCACCTTGAACGAAAATCGCCCGAACGGTGGACACTACTGATGAGGCATGAGAGTAGTATGTTTTCTCGTAAATCCGCTCCGCGTCTCTTGAAAAGTGAGATCTGTTACGGAATTTGTGGAGTCGATTTGTATCGTTCGCTTGCGTTTGAGTAACAGTCAATGAATATTCAGGAAAATTCAGGAAGACGCGTTCAGGGGGGAGATGGATATTCAGTTTTGTAAACAAGATGCATATGAAGGCTTTGCTTCCCAGTTCAGTAGTCTGTAACTGTCCAGTTCTCTAATGGACAACTCCGCAATGTAGATTTTTATCCTTTCACCGGTATAACGTTCGAGAAACCTAACTGCATAAACAAGCGTTTGGTGGTCAACTGAAAAATCGCCTGTTATGAGCTGTGGTCTCCCGAGGACACAAATGTTCCATTGCCATACACACAGTCATACACTGACGAATAATGAATATTTTTGTAATATACTACTCATAAGGTTGCTGAAAATCCGTTGACAGCACATGACCGATTTCGCCCCTTTTAGGGGCTCATCCGGTGGGTGCAGTCCCCGGG